TCTGTTTTTGATTTTGGGGCATCCTATATGTGCAGCACAAAATTCTATTTTACATTTTTTTACTCAAAAAAAANTTTTTTTCTAGCTCTTACCCTTTTTGAGTTATCTTGAAAAAGCCCTTTGTTTTATCTTTTTCCACCCTTGGCCGGGGGTTGAACAAAAAATTACTCTCACTTATTGTTATGATATACCTTAAACTAACTCATATCAAAAATTCAGCCAAGTTGACAAAATTTCGATTTAAAGGCTTAGTTAATTGGACTATAAATAGGAAACCGATATCTAAGGAACCATATGACAGCTCGTAGAAATCGATTAGGTACTTGTAAGCTACATAATTTATAATAATTCTCCTTCAAACTGCCGTTGTTGATGAACTTAACGTTCATACATGTGATAGCGGCAACGTCGCGGTTCTCGACTAGCGTATTATTTGAAATTCGCAGGTGTGACATATGGTGTATATTTCGAGCTTAGGCATCCAAACAAAGCCAGCCAAGTACAACGTTGCCAAATCTAAAGGCTTACTACTTTAGTCACTAGCGAATGTACATGTACGAAACTCTCATTAGACTTTTAGACGTACCTCCTTACCAGATAAACCTCCTTAATAATCAGTAGATATTTTTCTTTTATATCGATACACAACTATTTTTTCGGGGGCGTAGAACAGTTCTATGATATTCTGTTTTTGATTTTGGGGCATCCTATATGTGCAGCACAAAATTCTATTTTACATTTTTTTACTCAAAAAAAATAACCAGTATATTTTTTCTTCAAATTTAGTACAAAACTATTTTGAGGGCATAGAATAGTCCTATAGTGGTTTTTCAGCAAAAAATTCCCTAATATATTTTACTTTAAAGATAATAGCTCAGAATTTCATGGCAATGGAAAACCAAAATGATGTATTTTCAGAGCTCTGTAAATAAAAACATAATCCCAATTGATTCTTCCGGTTTACTTGTATTTACGAAGTAGTTAACATGAAAAATCAGGTACTCTGTATTTTGTCAATAATTGTATTATCAATAATTTTTGGGAAAAACAAACTTTTTGTAAAATATGGCCTCAGTTCAGCTTATTCTGAGGCAATGAAATACAAAAGAATAGAAAATAATCAATTCATACAAGAAATAAGTTGTCTTGCAAAATTAAAAAGTAAAATAACTTTCATACTGTGGCAAATATTAAAAAATGATGTATTAGTCGAAAAAAAATCTAAATTATTGTCTCAAACTGTATTTGACAAAAATATTCCACAAAATTCAATTTAGTTACCTAGCATTAGGTTAAGTGGACTAGAAAAACTTTACAATTTACAGAAATAATACCAAACATTCTTTTTAACGAGATATTAGTTCTGTCACCAAGTTATTTCTATTTACGTCATAAACCAGCAGTTCCCAAAATTTGTGTTTTGGCCCTCTGTCAGAGTACACCTAGACTAAAGCTTTTTTAATTCCTAGGTATAAAACACTTTCTAATACATTTTACAGTTGAGTAATAAAAATTTGGGAACAGTAGAAAAAAAGCAGGACCATTGACTCAAATTTTATTGACAAGATTATTTTAGGAACCGTTATATTTAGTTTAAAATTCAATTTGGTACGAATATAGGTTCAGTAGATTCAAGTTTTGTCTGTATAATAATGACTTAATTGGCCCAAAATTAATTTAAAAAATGACATTTGATTGGTCTTAACATAATAAATGAAATCGTTTACAAATGAGAACTTCATTTCTTGTATCAAGTTTAGTTTGGAAAGTATTGAAAATATATTTTTTTAACTTATCTCTAAGAGGGAACATTTTCAAAAAAACCGTCATTCATGTTTGACATTAATTCTGAGTCACTCTATACAAGTACCTGGGTCACAATCCGAAAATACTTTTTCACTATTTTTCTAAATGGGATTTAATAATATGTATCTGCAAAATCAGTTTTAGTTTTGGGCCACTAATTTCAAAATATTTGTTTTTTTTAAGAAATTTTAATTTTTTTTTTTTTTTTTGACAAAAAAAACATGAAAGTAAACTTTACAGTTCGTGGTTTCACAGATATTTGCAAATCAGTAAGACCAACAAATCACAAACTACCAAGCAAATCACATTTTACATTTTTAATTCCAAATACGATGCATATCATAATTTTCAATCTTCAAATTTACCTGTATAATGCTTAAAAAATAAGTCTCTTAACTTATTTACCCACGTTAAAAGTGATGTTTTTATGCGTAATTTTCAATGAATTTGTTTTCACTGTGAAAATTAAAGGAATCCTTGTATTCTAACATTTTTTGTATAGTTTAAACGGATTTTCTTGTCTATAAAACGACAGCCTTAACTTGGATATCTTTTTCCGTTAACCCAACATAACTAGTCTCTATTGTCGATCTCTAAGTAATTGTCAATCCTGTTCCTTGATCACTTCGGAATCATATTCCTTCACTCTTAACCACAATGTTGTTCAACCCCCCCAGAGAGGAGAAGTTACTATTTCTGACAAATGAATATCATGCTTGTACAATTTAAAAGATACATGACAACTGGGAATATAAGTTATGAATGTAAATCTTAGTAGCCGCAATACAACTACCGATTTTTTTACGCTGCGGTTCAGACTCTAAATGTTTCTGTTTTATTTCTTAGCAAATAAAGGTGCGTTTTTCAGAGAATTTCTTACTGCCACTATGTTTGACTATAAATACTATATAAATTTTTTTCTAGTCTATTTTGTGTACGAGAGTTAATTCGAGTGAGCACACTCATACTAAACAAATATTTTTAGTTGTTGAAAACACTAAATGTGTTCTATTAAAAATCTGTATTATTTTTGTTATATATTTTTGCTACAAAATTTGCATGTTAATTTTAGTTTTTCATTAAATCAAAATTGGCTCTTAATTTCTATAAGTTTGAGGTTAGTTTATAAATAGATAGTCAAATTCTGAAAAACAAAAAATTAAAAATACTTAGAATTCAATTCCTCATCAGAATATGGGAAAAAATATGGCTTTGTATTTAAAAAAATGAGCTTTAATGGTTTCAATTTACCCTAAAGAAAGTTGTGCTGGGTGTTTTTTATGTTGAAGTCTTTTTTTAACACAACAGATAACTCAATAAAGCAATTTTTGCAAGTTATATTTTTTCGAAACCTTAAAATTAACGAAAATAGAAAAAATGAACTAGGTAATTTTTTAATTTTGATAAGTCTGGATCTGCTTAAAGATAATCATAATGATCGAAACTGGAATTGTTCACAAGCTATTGCTCAGCATATCCACAACGTTTTCCATGCCATTTTCTATGTATTCATATAACTTCTGTCGTTTACATCTATCAAACTTGTAATTTGACGAACTTGAATCTCATAATATTAGTCCGTTATCTGTTATCCACCTGTTAGTTTTTTAAATAGTATCACGACTTTACATTTAAAACAGTACTGTTCTACTATAAGCATGAGTCATTTTAAAAACAAAACACATTTATAGAAACTGAAATCACTACCCCTTTCATGAAGCCTCATGTATAATTTCCTATTATACGACAAAAACGCTAAAGGTTTGTTTTGTCGTGAATAACTATTTACCATTTTTTTTTTTTAAGATAAAAAATCATTCAGTATTTAATTTCTGACAGGAGTTTAATCAAATTATTTTAGATCTTGAAGATTTCAAAAAATGTTCTTGAAAAATATACTTATATTCCAATTTAAAAAACATCTCAACAATTGAAAAATATACCAAACATCGACATCTAAATGTTATTTTAGTTATATTATCGATGCTAACTTTTGCTTTTATCAAAATTATTACAGTAGATAATCTAGAATGTGATGTAAAAAAAAATTAAATTAAAGGAAAATTCACATCTCGAAAAAGATTAAACTTAAATATAAGGAAACTTTTTATAGTAATGTGTTTTACATTATATTTTATCGTCTATTGTTTATTGCAAGATAACGGGAAATGATTACTGTTGCTGTCGAACATAGTTTTTTGATAAATGGTAATATCCATCCAACGGTAATGTTATCTTCTTGAAATAATAATGGGCAATAGGAAATAAAAATGAATATCTAAAACATGTTTGAATGATGACTTAAAAGTATTTTTTTTCTAGTTTATATTACATTTGTTTGAGTTTAAAAAGTCAGTAAAGTAATTTTTTAGATGGAAAGTATTTTATAAAATATAAGTGATGTAACTATTACGATCTTAAAATATTTTTAATAAAAATAATTCTCTAAAATATGAAAATTATTACAATTATTTAAAAAAACCTTACACCTCCAACAGGTAACTTTAAAATATAATTCATGCTTAACTGCAAAAAAACATATTTGTAATTATTCTGTAATCGAAATCTTTGTATAGTCTTGTATATGAGTAGCATCATCCATTTTGTTTTATTCCTTATTTTTTACCTTTTATATAAAATAGATATAATGTTATGTATTTTTTTATTATTGTAGCTCATCCAGAATCATCTTTTATCTTGTGGCACTTTTTAAAGATTATTCTGGTAATTTATTTTTGTTGTTTTATGTGGTTATATTAAAAAAATAGACTCTGTGTAGAATTAAACTATATGATCGGTTAAATATTCACTTATTTACATTTTTATCAATTTGTATTAGTTAATATTACTCCCTATAACTATGAGAGCAGTTACAAAGTCAGTCAATGTATAAAAAAGTTGTAAATATTATTCTGCAATAAACTATTTTTCCAAAATCGGCTTTGTTTTTTCAAAAAATACATAACTTCTATAAACATATATGTTTTAGGTCCGCAGACTGGAGAATTCTACCATTTGAGGAGCTTCTTTATATACTTTTACAGCAAATCACGAGACAATTACAAATTTGCCACAAACTACATTGGTTTGCGTAAATTATTTTTAATTTAATTTTTTTGGAGGGAGATTCGTTGTTCCCTCTCCAAAGCACTGACGAAACCGAAATCTAATTTGTTTTTTCTATGTCTGTTTAGGTATCCCCAAGTGCCACCTCGCGACTTTGGTCCGCCTTTCATGAACAAAGAACCTCCATTTAATCAGCCTCTACCTCAAACAATACACAGCATCCAACCCCAACGGCATTATGAAGACATTGCGCCGCCTGGGGTTGATGACGACATAGCACCACCTGGGGTTGAAGAACCTCTTTTCAAAATTTCAGAATCTAAAGATCACCGCAACAGCCCAAGAAACGACGATAAAGGCAAGGAAACCAATGATAGTAAAAGAAGCGGTGATAAGAAAGAGCGAGATAGATCTCCAGATAGAAAACGTCGACATGAAAAAAGAAGCAGGACTCCTGATAAAGCCAGAAATCCTAGTCCCAAACGAAAGTCTAAATCCAAAGAAAGAGATAGTCCTGATAAACACAGACGGAGACGAAGGGATTCCTCTGACAGGGAAGAGAAGGATAGAAGGCGCGACCATTCTGATGACGAAAGATCAAGAAAAGGGAAAGACAAAAAGAAACACAAAGACAAAAAGGAATCGGAAAAGAGAAAGAAAAGGGACAAGAAAGAAAAACATAAAAAGGATAATAAAGAAAAGAAATCCAAAGACGAATTTAAACAAGTAATACCTAAAAATATCGATGAGGATTCAGATCAAGACAAGCGACAACAGGAAGAGAAAAAGAAAAGGGAATTAGAAGAAGAGAGACAATTGGAAGAAAAGAGATTGGAAGCTATCAAAGAAGAGGAACAGGCTCTAAAAGAGGAGAAGAAAAGAAAACCAGTAGAGGAAGAGAAGGAAAAGGTTGTTGTGGTTGAAGAAAAGAAGAAAAAACCAGTTAGTCCAGAGCCGGAAGAACAGAAAATCGACTTACAGAAACTTGACTTGTACGAAGATATGTTATCGGAAGAAATTGACACCAAGGTGATAGAAAACTATGGAAAGATAGAAGACATATTTGAGGAGGAAAGCAAAGAAGATATAATAGAATTGGCCAGTGTGGAAGAAGTGGTGGAAGAGGGAGAGATAAAAGAATTTGAGGATGAAGAAAAAGACGTACTCGAGTTACACACAACTGACATGGACCTAAAAGCAGAAGTGGATAAAAGCGACATCCTCGCACCCGTCCCAGAAAAATCCAAATGGGAAGTGGAAGAAGACGGCCAAGTACTCACTAGTCCTCAGGATAGCCACAAATCAGACTCTAAATCCGACAAATCGGGAAAAGTAACTAACGAAGTATTAAAGAGGGCCGAAAATGCTATCTTTGCTAAAGCCATCAATGCCATCCGGCCCATTGAAATCAAGAAAATTAGTACCGATAGGGCTAAGTTATACTCGGGAGAACGAGAGATTGAAAAGGGGCACAACCAGATACAAATCACTGTTGCGTCAGCTTCTGTAGATGCCAAGAAAACGGATCCACCCCAACCACCCGTAAGATTATCGGTGAAAGAACGTTTAGGCATTAAAGTCGAGGATACGGATAAAGTGATTAATTTAGCTAGGAACAGATCCCGAACTATCTCGCCATTCAGTAGGAGAGGAGAAAGCGGCAGAAACTACGCAATGGGAGAGAGGAGAGTAGAGGTAGATGAATTCAGAGGACACAGAGACAGAAACAGGAGATCTAGGTCTAGAAGAAGGGAGAATAGCAGGGAACGTTTCCGGAATAGAAACGACAGTAGACACCACAGAAGGCACGACAACAAAAGAAGCGATCGTAGAAGGGAACACAGCAGCAGAAAAGAGGAAAGGAGTAAGCACGACGAGGACAAAAAGACGAAAAGAAAGAGGTCTAGGTCGCGTAGCGAAAGCGAAGACCGAAAAGATAAACATAAGAAGAAAGACAGGAAACAGAAGAAGGAAAAGCCAAAAAAGAACAAAGATGAAGATTCAAAAGAAAGCAAAGATGAAAAAGACGAGGTCAAACCTCAACCCAACGTTACAAAACGTAAACCAACAATCGATGAGGCAAATTTCGAGCCGGATTACGATCTTGAATCGCATACGGACGAAGAGGAAGAAAAAGAGAAGAAAAAGGAGGTTAAGAAACACGCGGAAAAGGAAGACGTCGAGAAAAAGAGCTCTTCTTCTGAATCCGATTCAGAATCTAGTTCTGAAGAGGATCGGAAGAAGAAGAAACATAAAAAACACAAAAAGAAGAAGAAGAGGGAGACGAGCAGTAGTAGTAGTTCGGAGTCTGAATCAGATTCCAGCGATAGCGAGAGAGACCGCAAAAAGAAGAAGCACAAAAAGAATAAAAAGAAGAAGAAAAAATCCAAACATAAGTAGTATGCAGACAAGGATAGGCTATTGTATATTACTTTACTATTAAAAGGAGTAGGTAGTAATTTATAATACTTCATCATATAATTTTTTTGTACATAGCTTGGTATTAATGCTAAGGCACTAGTGAAATGGAAAAGTACTTGTGTAATCTTAATATAATAAATCGTGTATAAGTACATTAATTTATTTTTTATTTAAATCTAAATAACCTTAAAACCTAGAAAAAAAACATTTATTTTCAGTAGGTACTGCACAGCACAGCTAACGCTTAAATATAACCTGTTCCGATCAGGTTATATTGTATTGTAAGTTTGTCCAACACATATACAGTGTGACCCATTCAAAACCGGGACACCCTCATAAAATTTTTATTTACAAGACGATTTTGACCTACTTTTTTTTTAATTGTAGAGAGGCAAAGAGCGTACTTAAGAACCAAGTGTAATGCTTTTTATACAAAAACCAAGGACTAGCAGATCATTTTTGGAGAATCAAAATGGAAGAAACCATATTAGTGATTTTTTTAGGAAAAATTTAAGTATGCCAGTGAATTAAGTGCCCCTTAAAATAAGCATATACCAAATTTCCTAAAAAAAATTTGCATATTAATAATTCTGTGGCAAAATTAAAAATCACATTATTATGAATTTTTTCCGTCAAACGAAGCAAGCCATGGAATAAAAGTCCTCTTATTGAGTGGCCGCCAAAATCACCTGACTTGACGCCACTCGACTTTTTCCTTTGAGTCTAAACAGTCGGTAGAAGAATTAGACGCTACAATAACTGAAGCATATGCAAATGTTACCCCAGAACGACAGAAAAGTAACCATGAACATAGGAAAAAGGTATGATAAGTACCTTGCAATAAATGGCGGATTGGTGGAGATAACAAGAATTTAATTAATAATTCTTCTCAATCAATCAATAATTTTGTTGAATATTGTTATGAATAAAAATAGTTATTGTCATTTATTTTTGACGATTTATTCCATGGCTTGCTTCGTCAGACGAAAAAAATTCATAATGTGATTTTTAATTTTGCCCCAGTATTATTAATATGCAATATTTCTTTATGAAATTTGGTAAAGGCCCATTTTAAGGGCCGCTTAATCCAGTGGTGTACTCAGATTTTTTCTAAAAAAATCGCTAATATGGTTTATTCAATTTTTACCGTCCAAAAATGATCTGGTAGGCCTTGGTTTTTGTATAAGGAGGATGACACATGGTCCTAAAGTACACTTTTCTCCCCTCTACAATTCAAAATAAGGTTGGTCAAAATCGCCTTGTAAATAAAAATTTTATGAGGGTGTCCCGGTTCCAAATGGGTCACACTTTTATTTTTTTATTATTTCTGTGACAAACAACTTTCCATAATGAAACATTTTGAATTGAAGTTAAAAAAGAAATCCAGTGGCATACGATAATATATGATCGAGGAGAAAGTAACCACCATTCATCATATATATGCCACTGATTTGAACTGACGATTTTTTATTGAATACTATTTTATTCTCAGATGGTCTTTTATTTTTCATAAAGTTTCAACTTCTTTATACAGGGTGTTCAGAAACTAAACCGACAAACAAAGACGGCAAATTCTAGGGATGATTTCATATTGATTTGATGCAAATCCTCTTATCCAAAAATACTTCATTTCGATTTTTTGAGGAACCTCCACACCTAAAAAAATTTTCAAACACATTTTCTGTTGATTATATAATATATTTATAAATATGTACTACGATTAACAAAACAAATATTCCACCAAGTAAAAATTAAACTAAGACTTTAAATTTTAAAGTAAATAGGATATTTAAAAAAAAAGTAAATATAATCAATGACTTGGACGTGCTTGAATAATTTTACACAATATGTTGAAATCAGGAACTATTGCCGTAAGTTGCAATCACATTTCAAATTCTGCATTAAGCGCATTGCAATACTTTGTTTTTGCTGCTACATACGTCTTGTTGCTTTTGTAGTAACTTATACACGTGTACTTGTAAAAATAAAAAATTTTAGGGGTATAATTTTTTTTTAATTTTGTAGTATCGATATTGTTAATTCCAAAATTTTGAATTTTTGACAGTCGCGGAACCCCCAAAGAGGTTGCGGGGAACCCCAAGGTTCTGCGGGACACAGTTTGAATACCGAGATCTAGATCTAGAACAGTATCATTTATCTAGGATCTAGAAGTATCAAACTTAGGTTATGTGTTAACTCTTATAGGGCTAGCCTTTTGATGTAAAAAAGATCTTTTAATTAATAACCATATGCGTTACATTTGGGAGGGTCAACTGATATTTTTAATTATTTTTTTTATCTTTAAAAACTAATTTCTAAATCTGACATTCACAACATAGTTACTGGTTATCTGTTTTCTAAAGGCAACTATTAAATATTAGCAGAGAATTTGTAATTTTGTAATTATCTTGCAAAAAAAAACAAAAACATTTCAAATAGATTTTTCTCGTAAACAGTACACCCTAGTCATTCAAGACAAGAGTATCTCTTTAATCTAGAATACTTTGAAGTTTTCGATTTTGATATTAAAAATACCAAAAAGTCGAAGATAAAAAAACATTTAAAAATATCAGCTGACACTCCTAAATGTGACGCCTTTGGTTACAATTAAATATCATTTTTGCATCAAAAAGATGTCCGTGTAAAAGTGAAAACATAACCTAAGTTTTATCCATCTAATACATTTTTAAACAGTAATCTAAGCAATTAAAAAAAGACAATGTCAAAGAGCCCTACCTCCCATAGGAGGTATTTTTTGATAAGACGATTTATGTCAAATTGATATAAAGGCTGTGTTCTTTTATTCATCATTTCGATGTGATGAATTCCATAGAACTGCGTAGAACCAATAAGAGATTAGAATTTTTTAAATAGGCCAATAGTAATACATCTCATTAAAATGAGGAATAGAAGAACACGGCCAAAATTATCCCTAGAATTTGTTGGCTTCGTTTGTCGGTTTAGTTTCCAGACACCTTGTAATTATTGGTATTTAAATTTTAATTTGATACTAACTATTCTATTTCACAATGCTGTAATATTAAAAAAAATAAACATTTTATCAAAAATTAGAAAATGTCCATTTGTATCATCAGTTTATTACAAAAAAATATATACAGGATGTTACAAATTAGTAAGTCAACCCGTCAACCACATATTCTTTTGACTAAACTAATGGGACTTTTCTTATTATTTCATTTTGGAGCCTCATTTTCAAAATACAAAAATTTGAGTCTTCTTATTTATTTCAATTTACTGAATAAAATGGAAATGATCATCATCATGATCAGCGATATTTAATTTGAGCTAAATCTAACATATCTAAAAAAAGTTGCAAATCTTGTGCAGCAAACCCCAAATCAAAAAAATGTGATTTAGTGCTCTTTACCTCGTACAATTCATATCTTTAACTGTTGTTCAGTTAGTTTTGATACCATATAAAAGAAATTTTTCATAAAATCCCAAAAATTAAAGTCTAACGTTGACTAAATTGATGTCGCGTATCCAAAAAAGCTACATTATCTCGTAAACGAAGCTCCAGATAAAAATCTTACGAGTGAAAAAATAGAATAAAATGTCGCTTTATCTAAAAAAATATTCGGAAAGCATCGCTTTGATATTTTAAACCAAAATTACACAAAAAGTGCGCCGACTTAACATCAAATATTGTATTGTAAATAGTGCTAAAATTCAAGTAAATATCTCTACAATCACCGGAGTTATCAATAAAAATCATTTAAATTTTAATTTTGACATCCTGTATTTTAAAAATGAGGATCTGAAATGAAAAGTGACATAAGAAAAGTCCCATTATTTTAGTCGAAAAAATATGTGGTTAATGGGTTGACCTACTAATTTATAACACCCTGTATAATTGGCAAACTTTTTCCATCATTTTCAAAATGTGACTACTTTAATTTTTACCAGCTGTCAGCAGCATAATTTCTTGATTAATAAAAAAAATACCTTATTATTTCCATCAGTTGATTATGAAAAAACATTTTGCACAAATGTGCAACCATCCTCAAGATTTTAGGAGTACCTACCCCAATTTAAATTTTTTATTTTACACATTTGCATTTTTTCGTTCATAAAAGTTCTCTATATTTCTTCTTAAAAAATGGTGAATCCCATGTTTCGTTATCAAAATATGACGGCCGCCACAGATTCAAACGTTATTTCTATCACACACGAAATTGATAAAGAAAAAAATTGGCACTGAAATAACTAAAATCCATAAATTGACCGCAACCTTGTTTGCCTCAAAGTGGCAATTTATTGTGGTACTTTATGATATCCAGAGACTTTAGAAATAATAGTCAAAGATATTGATATCAAAATCCCCCGTGATCGGACTAATGGCCAATTTTGTTTTTAATGTGTTGGTCGTATGTTGAATAACAGGGTTTCTAAGTTTGCTGACACTCCTTGTGGGACAGGGGTTGAGGGTGCGGGAGTAAATACAAAAATCACCCCGTGATCAGATTAATGTTAGCAACTCATAAAATATATTCTAGACCTTCAGGAGAGTACGAAAATAAAAGTTGCTGACAGCCTAATTGGGGCAGGGGCGTTTAAAACGGGGTAAAATGTACCAACTTACCGAGTACACAAGCACAACTAGGACGCGTTTTTTTATGTCAAAACAGCTAATTGGTATTAGCGATTTTTTTTCCAAAAAACATTACGTATTTTCATTCAGCATCTGTCAAAAGGTCTTATCACCAAGTTTCATCAAATTCGATACATCTTCAGACGAGCACTAGTTGGCCATATATTGCATTAATAAAAAACAGCAGTATCACAGTTAGATAGTTTTTTTACCCTACCTACATTCCATAAAAAAATTTTTGAAATCAGCCAAAAAATAAAGAAGTTAGAGGCTTGTATTACTTTCGCGACATCATGGAGTGCTCACCTGAAGATGTATCGAGTTTGATGAAACTTAGTGGGATGCTGAATCGCTAATACCAATCAACTGTTTTGATGTCAAGAAAACACGTCCTAGTTGGCCGTGAATTGCATTAATAAAAACAGCAATATCAGTTTTTTAAGCCCACATTCCAAAATAAAAATTTTTGAAATCAACCAAAAAATAAAGAAGTTACAGGCTTATATCACATTTAAGTGCGACACCCTGTATATTTCATAAAAATTATGCGTATTGTATACGGAAATTGATGATTTTTCCCTTACACAATCATTTTCAAAACTACGAAAAATTATTAAGTAAATATAATGATAGCGATATTGATGAAAATTAGAGTAACAGCATTTTTTAAAACTTCGTACTATCTCTGTAATTTTTTGTAAACATATAAATTTTTCCCAACACTACCATTATTCGAAATATTTTTATTTAGGGATTTTGACACCAATCTCTCCGTCTATAACTATCAAAACATTTGTAGAGAAAAACATTGTTCGCAAACACGAAATAAATTTTTAAGTACTTGACGAAACCTGTGGCAATTACTTCTTTTCTAATAATACATATTTTTTCTACTCCGTTCTGAATTTACATAAAATTATAGATAAAAATCGTGACATATTAAAGCATTGTAAACATACGAAACAAATCTAAAATTTAAGCAAAACGCCTACCATGAAACAAGTTAGACGAGCAAACGTACAATATAATTTATTTTATTTATATATACATACATAAACACAAATCATAATAACAAATTATATATCTTTTAAATTAAATGTAAAGGGAGTGATTTAAAAGACTTAATGAAAATAAGTCGATAGTGAAAGATCATCTATTACTTAAATGCAATTTACATTGTTTCAATGAAATTCCATTTTCCTAAATCGAGTAATTATTGTCACATCTTCTAATAAAAATAAATAATTTTATTATAAATTCTTATTAAACAATATGACTCAAAATATCATACAGCACTTTAGAGGGACTGGAACACTTTTTACAAAAAAAAAATATATAGGACTTAAACGAGTCTCTTCAGACCAATGGCAGCATCAATAAATAACGTTCGATGGAGTTTCCTGAAGGTCCAAATTTACTGAAGCGGAATTAGATGATCATAGACACCGGTTCTTCGAGGTATTCCTTGAACGCTTTGAGCCACTGTGCTCCTACAGCCCCGTCCACCACCCTGTGGTCGCAGCTTAGGGTTACCGTTAAGAAGTCTGCTTCACTAAACCTGAAAACAATATTCAAAAATGCAATAATATTACCTAAAAATCAGAGACTTGATAAACAAAACCGAAAGCAATTTTTTTTTAACTTGCGTTCCTGAGAATATACAAAAATTAAAATGAATGTATCGAGAAACGGCATTATCAAGAATAAACCTAAGATACATAGAGAACAGAAAATAGCACAGTCTTGACGAGAACAATGTCGAGAATGACGTACTTTTTCAGTGTTCTGTCTAAGAATGGACATGTTCATCGGACATATCGTGAAAAGTGAACAGGTCCTTAGGACACTTCAAGATTGAAAAGTTGTATACGCATGCAGGGAATTATTTGTTGCATTCATAATTCCCGCTAAAAATTTTTGAGGTTGGTACATATGAAATTAAAGATATTTAGCGATTTTCTTGTAATTTTGTTGATAATTGTTTAACTGAAACTAGTGATGGGAATAATCGAATGAATTAAATAATCGAGAGGTTACCNTCCAAATTTACTGAAGCGGAATTAGATGATCATAGACACCGGTTCTTCGAGGTATTCCTTGAACGCTTTGAGCCACTGTGCTCCTACAGCCCCGTCCACCACCCTGTGGTCGCAGCTTAGGGTTACCGTTAAGAAGTCTGCTTCACTAAACCTGAAAACAGTATAATATTCAAAAATACAATAAAGTTATCAGAGAGTTGATAAACAAAACCGAAAACTATTTTTTTTTAACTTTCCTTCCTGAGAACATAGCAAAAAACTAAAACAAAAGTATTGAGAACATTTTCAAGAATAAATCTTGGGGAACAAAAAATAACAGTCTTACTGAGAACAATGTCGAGAATGAGGTACTTTTTCAAATTTTCTGTCTAAAAACAAAAAGTAAGGAGCAAAATTCTTTAACCATAACCGAATTTTTGCTAGTCTCGCAATTCTTGCTATGAAATAAATTTGGGTTTTGCATTTTAGTAAAATCAGATTAATATAAAAAATATTAGTGATATGCTGCAGACTTGTCAGCTGGACATGTCCTGTTCGATTGAAAAGTTGTGTGCGCATGCGCGGAATTATTTGTTGCATTCATAATTCCCGCAAAAAATTTTTGGGGTTGGTACATGTAAAATTAAAGATATTTAACCATTTTCTTGTAATTTTGTTGGTAATTGTTTAACTGAGACTGACATTTTAAAATTATAACCTCTTTTATATGTCTATTTTTTATTATTTTTGACAAAGTTAACGATTAGTAAATAGTAATCAGTTGATTCTTAATTTAATATTTGATACACAAATAGTTTATAAATGAAGTATGTCGCCAAAATCAACAGTTTGGTTATATTTTTCTGAATTGAGTAAAATTCGTTATAAAAGTAACTTCTACTCAAAAACAATTTTTAAGAATTCCAGTAGGATGGGAAAACATTTAAAGAAGTGTATTGGACGTCAGGGGAAAAATTAGAAACCAGTTTATAAAAAAGTCTGAAGGTAGGTAATAAGTAAAATATATCGACTCATATTCATTAGAACAAAAATAATATTTTACTTTGTGTACCCTCAAACAGTAACCTGTGAAAACATGATGTCACTCATAGTTGCCTTATTAGACTCAAGGTCAAAAGTAATATTCCCGACATGTCCATAACATACTTTTCCAAAAAGTGCCAATTTCTATACTTTTTGCAAAATTGGTGAGTTTGGGCATTATTTCGATTAACCGTGTTTTCGATTATCTAGCAACGGTTCGGTCCTGGCCAGCCCGGATAATTGAGGTTCTAATGTACACTTATTTATTTCATACAAAAATAGTTTTTTTAAATTTGTTTGCATAAAAATATCCCACAACTTTATTGTCAATTCTAAAACCGAGATAATGTGCACTTATAAAATTGCTAAGTTAAAATTTCGTCCCTATATCAAGTTCTAGTTAATCAGCTTCTAAGATTCTTGATTCATATATGGCAAGCAGAATCGGTATTGTTTCATACAATTACCTAGTTCTCCGCAAGTCGTTTGCTTCAAAACGGCCCACGGAGTCGTGAATCATAAACCTAATACCATAGAAATTGATTTCTTCAAATCCCACTCCAGTACCGTACCTTTGAAACAATTTGTTTAGGAACGACACAGCTCTAGGCTATAACTATGCACCGGTACATATTTGTAAAAATAAAACATTTTCAGAGGCAGAAAAAAGTTGTAGGACCTCAAAAAAATCAAAACAACTACATTCCGATAAATTTTTTCATATCTCTCGAGTTAATTGAAGGTGAATATTTCACCATCAATTTATTAATTTAGATTTTTTCAGGACAATCGAAGTGATTCGATTTTTTCACAAATTGAAATTCTGATATTCTAATTTAATTCTAAATAGCAATTTTATCAAAAAAGTTTGCATATTGTAAAGACGAAAACTCTCTCAACGTGTGCAAACGTTCTCTTCGGGAACACAAAAGAAAAACTTTTTTCAAATTCGTGGTAGTAAGCAATTTAATTATTACATTTTTTTAATGTTGCTTTTGAAAACATTGAAAAATATGGAATAACTAAGAGAATTTTCAAAAAAATATGTGAATATTCAGCATTCTCTTGAGGTAGTTCGCGAACAATCAATATAATTTTCAAAAAAAATATAAATATTTCATATTTCTGTAGACAAAATTTTCAGTTTCTTCTCATTTATGCTCATTAATTCTTATTTATTTGAATGAGTACCAAATTTCAGCATTGTTTGTCATACTTGTAGATACAGAGAAGTTTTAAATTAATTTTTTTTTATATATTGCACCCTTTACCAATAAGCGAGCAGATATTTGTCATATTTATGCTACAAGTAGCCATGTTTTCCCTCAAAAGACAGGAAAGGTGTATTTTTGCTATATACAAACCAGTTTTTTTTTATATGAATCTAATTTACTTACAATAGCTTAACCACTATTTTTTGTCGACAAGAACTATAGCTGCCAGATTTACTACCGGCTTTTCTTAAGAAAAAATAATCTGAAAAATGTCTTCTCATGGTTTTTTTCTTTTCTATTCCAATTTGGTTTTCTATTGACAATAGACGTCCTTAACCAAAAGCGTTCTTTGTAAATCATTTCAGACTGTGTTATTAGCGACGACGTTGTTTCCCGACGATCAACAATCTGTTCTCAGCTCCCGTTAAAAAATACATGTACTTACCCTTTTTCCGAATCGTCTGCAACTAATCTCTTAACAGTAGTTCCTATTGCTAAGATACAGCTCTGAGGGGGATTAATGATAGCACAGAAGTTGTTAACCCCGAACATTCCCAGATTCGAGACGCTGATAGTACCGCCCTGGAATTCCTGCGGTTGTAGCTTGCCCTCACGGGCCTTAGCTGCCAGAGTCTTGACCGTTTTACTAATTTCAGCGACTCCCTTCCTGTCCGCCTGGAACACGATGGGGGTGATCAAACCCCGGTCCGTCGATACGGCCACGCTGACATCGACGTTGTTGTACTGGCGGATCACCGAGTCTAGCCACGCCGAGTTGGCTTCTGGTACCTACAGTCGGTTATTACTTATGAAAGCTGTTTTAATGTTCAATGGTCACAAAGAGAAATAAAAACATTGTTTTGAAAGGGGATGGAGTAATAAATCAATCATTTTTAAATCGACTATAGAATTTTAAACAAATATGGAAATTATAGTGATTTCTATGCATTAATTTGATTTACCTGCAGGCACATTAGCCTTAGCAAGGAATTTTTGGCCTTCCTTTATAGTCCAGTCGGCAGAGGCCGAAAAGTTACTGTTGGTGACATTTCCTTGATAACCCGGAAATAACTACACATGCCTACTTTAAATGATGAGCACAATAACAGGTTAATTTGCTGACAAAGTATTTTATCAGGAAAAAAGTTATTAACAATTTAATCGTAAAAATTTCTTTTTTAGTAGTTTTCTTTAAATAACTCAGCGGGATGACTTTGTACGAAAAAATGCTTAAGACGTGATTTGTTCGTAATAAAAATAGTTACAAAATGGTGGTGGTCCGATTACGAAATTTGCAATAACAAAGCCGTGAAATTTTATAAATACATGTCCAAAAATTAAAAAAACGGTGACGTTTAAAACTAGGGTGACGTATAAAACCTTACCAAAGCTGCAAAAATGAAGATAATTGAATTTTGCAAATTGCTTTTGGTTTCTGTATATTTACACTATGTGTATACCAAATTTCAAGTGCCAGCAAAGCTTCAAACAAATTTGGCAAAGTTACCAGTTTCAGATACCGATGGATGTATAAAACCTTATAGAACAAAAAGTTTTGCTCTCCTGATTTTCAGCTTTAGCGTCATTATTGTATATATATTGAACCATAGTTTTCGAAAGTTTTATAACTTTTTGTTTATAATTGACATTTTTTACAGCAACATTAAAAAATTGACGTTTTATACGGTTTTTCCAATCTCACGGCTTTGTTATTGCAAATTTCGAAATCGTACCACCACCATTTTGTAGCTATTTTTATTACGAACAAATCATATCGTAAACATTTTTTCGTACAAAGTCATCCCGCTGAATTATTTAAAGAAAACTACTAAAAAAAAATTTCACGAATAAATTGTTAATAACTTTTTAAATTAACCTGTTATTGTACTCATCATTTAAAGTAGGCCTGTGTAGAACCTCTACCAACTGGACTATTATTGTTCTTGAGCTAGGCTCCATGGAGACGGAACCGCTATCACAATCCCTAGACCCACTACAAAAACAATCTCTCCTCAGACAACAGTTGCCCCTTTTAAAGGATTCGCCATTCATTACTTACGACATCTTCAGACCGAGACTCAATTATGGCAAAGCATTTGTAGTGAAGAAAGGCAAATTGTTTGAAAGCGCCATAGTAGGATCATATTTTATGGAAAGTAATAAATCATTGCCCGTCAAGGGATCCAGTGTAGTACGGTTTTAAAGGGTTTAGAAATTGAATAATTTCTGCATTATGAAGGGATAAAGGGATTAGTTCACGTCTGGCACCCCTATTCCTACAAAAATCCCTTTATTCTCATAAACTATTTATTTAAAAGTAATTTATTATTTTTAAATTTCACATATGTACTACATTTTACCTCTGTACGCACCACTGTTGTTTACTTGTTTTTTGGAGGCAGTCTCTGTTTTACGACCAAGCTTGCCAGGTTAGTATTTGACATATAACTGACCACTTCGTACACTCGATGCACCTGGGTGACTACAGCTACTACAAGAACACAGTGCGTATAAAGTGGTATTTCAGATTTTATATTCAATCTCATTTTAAATTCGAAATGGTTCATTTTACATGTCCTAAAAATGATGACACGATTCTCCTTTGATAAAAGACCGACAATTTTTTGTTCTACTTTGCATCGAATATAATCCTACTATACATGCGACCAGTTACAGAAGCCACTATGGAGCGGGTCTGTCCACAGAACCAACAAGAACGAAAATGAACATCATGGCGGGTTTGAGGGCTCTGATAGAAGGTCCGGAGGCTAAAATTAACTATCATTCATACAAATAACCACTCATAAACAGCTGAATGCGAATGATGAATGAGCTGTCATTAAAATTCTAGGTATGAGTGAGATATAACCTACAAAGTGTTATATCTCACTTAATGCTACTCAATGCCTATTGACACAAATGAATATAAAAATATGAAAGAAAATATAAATTTAAATAGAAGCACTGTCACATTTTATTACTCTAACTTATTTCAAAACAAAATACAGCTTCACACTCACCTTTACACTTGCAAGGGCCACAGCCTTAATAATAAAATCGTTGACGCTCAACTTGACCCCAGCCTTCTCCAATTTCTTATTGAATTTAGACCGGATCTTCACCAACTTATCGACGTTGACCTCCACCGACAAATAATAGTGCGGAATAGTCTGCTTCGACTGCAACAGTCTCTTTGCTATTGTGGCCCTGATGCCGCTAACGGGAATATCAATGTACGGAGATCCAGACGGAACGGCTGCGGGGGCAGCAGCCGCAGCAGCAGGAACAGGCGCTGCGCCGGCCGCTGGAAGATCTGAAGATGTAATTGATCCAAATAAACCGGTACCTTTACCTTAATAAGAAAACACACGTTAGGGAATTTCGGATGTTTATTTAGTATGGAGGGCAGACAACTGCAAGGGCAAGACACATTTCTATAGTTAAATTAAACATTAAATGTTCTGGTGCTGAAAACGTTGTAGAATATAAAATGTTGACTTAAAGAAGTCGTTAATCGAATTCTGCACTTTTGCTAAAAAAATGCACATCATATTTTGAAGGTGCAACGACAATATGTGAAATAGTTTTTAAAATTGTTTTAAATAAAAAGTATTTACTATTTTTTAAGCCACTGTGTTCAGTTCATGAATTTCAATGCTAACGACTTCTGATATTGACCTAGTTTAGGTGAACTATTTAGCAATCCATCTGACGTGATCCGATAACGGAGTGTTAGGCAGGCAAAAAAACAATTGTCCATTGTTTTATTAAGTTTAATTTTATAGTTGTATTTAGTGAAGTGTAGTGAAATTTAGTTATTATTTGGGTGTTTATTGCTTTACTGTCAAATTTCTCTATGATATGAAACAACATTCTTATAAAAAAGCAGTTGCATGCTGAAATTTTTGTTTAAAATATCAAGACAGGATATCCCAGTGCTGTCCCTGGAATCATTAAATTAAATCTAATTACATCAAATTAAATCCCTTTATTAAATTGTGCCAAGTTTTATCAAAATCGGCCAAGCAGTTTTTGAAAACGAAGCTTTAAAATATGAGTTGATATGAACTTTTCTTTTTATCTCTATTAGTTCTACCACCTATTAAATATTGCTGATTAAAACCTAAGACACCCTGTATATTTATTATTATCAAATAAATAAAGCAAAACTAATAATTGTAATTGAGTACTTAAAATTATGTCCCGTTGGTATTCCTACATTTGGAAATTATAAACCTTTATAAGAACAAAATCAGTAGCTAAATATTCTTAAATTCATGTAATTAAATATAAAAATTAACATATAAAGTAATCATATGATATTAGTGTGACCTTAAATTGATAATATTTATTTATTTTAAACCAAATTATCAAGTACTAAATTGATTATCAGTTTTAAGGCTTATATATATAAAACAGAATAAATTAATTATTGTTAAAAGCTAACAACTTACAATCTTATCTAAACAAACATTAGAAATCTATACAGGACATACAAAATGTGATTTTATGTAAAAATTATTTAAAAACATATCTAAAGAGTTCTCAAAATAGATTCCATTTCAAACATATTAATAACTAGTTATAAGGAAAATTATAAGTAGTATTGTTATAAAAATAAATAATTTAACTTTCACTCACCCTGCAACCTAATATTCCTTTGTTCAGCCAGCTTCTTGGCCATGGGACTTGCATAAATCCTTCCACCAGCTGGAGGTGCTGCTGCTGGTGGTGGAGCTGCTACCGCAGGTGCTAGGGGCGGTGGCGGTGCTGGTGCTGAGGGCGCTGACACCGTTGGCTTGGGTGCCGGCGCTGCGCCTGCGGGACTGTCGTCTTTGAAGTCTTTAAAGGCAGCAATGTCTGATTCGCTTTCAACAATTATGCAGACAAGCTTGCCTGTGATAACAAAATAGACAATTTGTAAAGTAGTGATGTTAAATTGCCAGTAATTTATTTTATACGAATAAAAAACTCAAAGCATACCAATAGGAACGTCTTTAGTGCCAGCTGGGATTAGAATTTTGGCTAGATAACCCTCCTCTGGAGTTTCAAAGCCCATTGTAGCCTTGTCTGTCTCGATTTCGGCCAGGAGATCGCCTTCGTTGAGTTTATCTCCTTCTTTTTTTTCCCAGCTGATGATGGTGCCCAACTCCATGGTGGGAGAGAGTGCTGGCAAGGTTACCCTTGTGTGTGAGGGTAGATCACTGGAGTAGTGTCGAATAAGGTTTTGTTCGGCAATCCTCCATTTCCTTACCATTTGAGAACGGCCGTCCCCAAGCAGTGAAGTTCTATGTGAAAAATTTTAGTAAATTTTTAAATATGTCCAAAACAAAAACAATTGCGGAATATGTGCTTGTACCATACATTAAATCATTTCTCCCATTAACGATTTAAAAAAAAAAGTATATAACATTATTAATCTTGAGATTATATAAAATTTTATTTAATGTAGTTTTTACTTAAACACACGCTCCTATTATATTACAGTACTATAAGATCACTTACAAAGTAAACACTAAAGATATTTAACTGAATTCTTCATCTATTAACATCTTTTTATAGTATGTATGTTGAAGTTCTTTAACTCTGCGTTTGGATTCATTTTTATTTTATTTTATTTTCGAAAAATCTATCCACCAAAAACTAAATATATTTTTTTGACAAATATGGTACATTCAGTTTTGTTGTGTAATATATTAAAGCATCTAGTAAGTCAATTGACAAATGTAAATATGTAACAGTCCTTAATTTAAAAAAATCTATTTTTAAGTCTCTTTTTAAGTATTCGAAAATATATAAGCCGTACTGTTAAATGATGCTTTTTCCAATAAAAGTAAGGTTATGAAACAAATGTGACATGAGATACTCCATCAAGGTTTGATTATATAAGCACAATTAAGTAAATTCTGTTAAAAAAGGGCTTACCTGCAATAATGTCTTTTTGCACACTCTATAGTAACAGTTCTAAAAGTTTTCGCTCGTACGGCTTTTCTCAAAAGGTCCTTAGCAACATCGCTTCGTAAAATAATCGTTCGGAACATTTTCTCTTACTTTTTAATTTATAAAAATTTGGTTACCAGAATTTTAATATATTTTTGGAGGGCGACTCACTAGGACCGTCTTCTAGGTCATTTAAAAGACAGACTTTCACGACACCAAAATGTGACGTGACCCACACGTCTTGATGACGGCACAGCTCCTTTTGATAAGAAAATAGATATCAAAATGTCAATGTCAAATTTGTGTAGTAGTTGAAAACTTCCCAGTCGTTTTAAGCAATGCTACCAACTGTTTTTCTTAATTGTACTACTTCTGTTACTTATCCATAGATGGTAGACTTCATCTAGATGATGTATTATTGTCCCATTTTATTTAAATAAATAATAATAAATATTAAAAAATAAACATGGTTCACGTAAATTTAAACTTTTATAAGGTTATTACTTTCTATTAAAAATATTGAACAATGTTTTACATTATTTTTCCAATTCTAACATATTCCATTCAGCGCATGCTTATTACATTCTCTTACAGTGTTGACAATTGTACTAAATAATCTGTAGATGAACGATTTGTTACAAATGTTTTTGAGAAGTCCTTGACGAATTGTTTTCAAAAAACTTGGGTTTTACTTAGTTCTATCTAGAAGATTGAATTTGTAAATATTAGGAAGAAACCATCAGTTTTCTTTACCTGTCTCTCTCAATATAGGTACCTATTTATTATCAAATATTTAATCGAAGTTTGAAGTATTGTAGCAAACGACTTTGTATATTGCTTGTTTTTTTTGGGTGTTTTGGCATTTGTGAATAAACTTATGGCGCAAGAGTTTATTTCACTAATGTTTTAAATTTATTCACAGGTGGCAAAAAAACTAAGTTTGTCAAAGTAAGTTTAACTACCTATGATTAAAACTAATTGAATATGGTCGCTAAGGTATGAGACATCTGATTGGATGTTGTTTAAAGTTCAAATATTTTTTGACAAACCGACCCTCATTGGTCTGAAAAAACAATTTATTATTACAGGTTTTACTTTATATTTTAGTTACCTCAGCAGATAAATGTGTCCTTTTTCCAAAAATAATATAATTACTAAAATTCTTACAATTCTTTCGATTCAGATTTGAACCTACCGACTGTAATATCAATCGGGATGGCAACACCACATTCGGGATAATGATGGTTCGATATTTTGATAGTAATTTGGTTTTTGGTCGCCTTCTAGTGTTATCATTTTAGCGAACCTGTCACGAGAGTAAAATGTCTCGTTTTGGGTTTTAGCTAATAAATGATAACGTCTTGTTTAATACGATGTTTAGTACCTAATAAACAAATTTAAGTTGTAGTGAATAGTGAACGTAAACTTAAAATCTATTTATTCTAGTGTTAAGTGCTACCTGAAGAATTCTCTACCTAAAATGGCTAATTTTGTGAGGACTATGGATTTCCCAAGGTTTTACCAGTACTTATGCACGTTTCTGATAGTATTTTGTGTGATAAATGAGGTAAGTCTCCCTAATTAATGACACTACTAAAATTTAAAAATTATTGATGTCGGTGATATACCTACGCCTTCAATATCGGATCGGAGATATACTTTTTATGAGTAATAAATATTTCCAGAATAATTGAAAATTGATGCTTGAATCGTTCAAACTACAAGTATATACAATTGGTAACTATTAAAAATAAGAAATATCTTAAGAAAACAAGAATAGCCTCATAACAAAATTAAGTTATACCATGTGAATTAAGAATAGAAAGTTATTTGACAACTTCTACTGCACTAATTCACTAATAGTTAATATTTTCTCTTCTGAATAAATAACACCTATAGGTTTTAACTTTTATAGCAGCAAGTACAGAAAAACTGGAAAAGTGTATAATGCTTCGTCAGGAAATATTTACTATATTATTATTCATTTCTTTTTAATGTGGAGAACATTTTTAAATGCTACCTAAATATAGAATATTATTTGTGTTTACTTTTTGGGCAGTTTGGGCCGTATGACTAATTTTCATGCGAAATCATAGTGAATCATATTGTTTATGTAGCAGGCTCGGTAGCAGGTTGAAAATAACATTTTCAAAGAGTTTTATTGAATCATCACATAAACAATGTTTGATATAAAAAATAGAGAGATTGATTTGATTTCTTCTAGACTAGTATTACACCTATGTATTTATAATAATTTGTACATAGTACTTATACTACCTACATACATTATTTACAAAAACGCTAAGATTAGTTGTAATATCTAGAGGTGTGAGGTAAGTGTAGGTATTGGTATATTGTTTCAGTAAAACTTCCATAAAAGTAGCTCGAAAAGTTGTTGACGAAGCACCTAGGTAAATTCTTCTTACTTGGAAGTAAAGAAATAAATGTAATGTCACGGAGTTTCTACATCTGATATGATGAGGTGATCCTATGACGTTTTTATTTACATATACAGGGTGATTCATAGGTATCGCGACAAAATTTGACAGGATAAACAAAATTATATTTTAATCAAAACGATTCTTATGAGCGAGAAATGCCTCAGAAAAAAAAATATACTTAGATTTCAATATCTTATGTGCTAAAATATCCATTCTGTATCTAATTTCTCTTTTATTTCAAATTTTAATTGTTACTATGTTTACTGACGAACTCGTGTTTGGGCTCTGGAACAATAAGAGTTAGAAATAGTACAATGTGCAATAAAATATAATTTTATAGAGGCAAACATCTACATTGTTAAACATTAGATGATTCTTTTATCACATTTTTAAAGTAAAACAAATTGTGTAGAAACGATTTTATCTTATCTCTTCACACCGGACCTCAAACGCTTTGTTATTTCGTATCTTTACAAAAATTAGACAAAACAAAGAAAATGTCAGAAATTATTAATTGTACGTCAAAACAAAGTATTGGCGTGGCCGAAAATGTTAACTGTTTTCAAGATATTCAAGATATGTCATTATAATATTGAAATACATACCGAACTAATTATGATCGTACGATACGTGTGTTGTCGAGTGTGTTGTTATCTAAGTAATATCTTATTGTTAATTTGTCAGGAACTAGACAAAGGATAATCGTACTCTATATTATCTTAGATTGAGTAGGTACAGCTGTGCACACAATGCAGATATTATTGCTTAGTAATACGGAAAATAAAAAATACTGTCTAGAAATTTTTATAGCTATTATTGAGGTGGGTAGTTTTTTATTGTAGTTCCGAGAATCTGCAAATAATGTAATAATCCTGCCTTTATCAATTTATAATCGTGTGTATCAGTGTCATGTAAAAAAAAACACAAAAACTAACAGAGATGGTAGAGTAGTTTCAAAATCTCATGAGCCGCGAAATCATAGACCTAGTAAACTATGGACTGGCCCTAGAAAGAGGTTAATCGCGCTGATGTGTGCAAGGCAGATAAAGCTAGTTGAGGCAAATACCGGTAAAACAACACACGGGTATACCGTTACAAAATGCCGTAAACAAACTTTGAAGTAAATGTCATGTATTGACATTATTGATTGATTTCTTGAATTTTTGTGTGATTTAGTTAGTGTATGTAAAAGATTCGTAAAAACTAAATATGGTGTAATCGTGTTCTGCGATAAATTGCGTAAAGAGACGTTTAAGTGAAGTACAAATTAAATTTCATAGGTAGGAAAGAAGTTATGATGGTACCAACATTTTTATAATTTTCGCATCTTTCTCAAAATAATGGCCAAGTAGAGTTGTCTCCGATGATAACTTATTAATGTCAATTTAACGTCCAAATTTTGCCGCTTTAAATGTGTTACTCTTCAAATTATTTTTTAACATCAAACTGAATATAACGAAAAAGTTTAACTGAAATGTGCTTAGCAAAAATTCTCTTCAAATAATACGTTGAACGAAGAAAGCATCGACATAGTTTCAATTTATACAGTTCTGCAAAGCAAGAAAATATGAAATATTTGAAACAACTACGTCAGAAGAGCTTGAAGTAATTTTGACCGATCGAGTTTACGATATGAGGAAAATAAATGGAGAAATACATCAATAAGGCATTATAAAAACTATTTGGAATATTATAGCTAAACCAATTCTAATATTGTACTGTAATTAGGGCAGTAATATAATAAACCCTTTTACATACCTACACTACTGGAAAAAATTAATTTTTTTTTTGTCTTTTGGTCTATATTATTTTTATAAAGTATTTGAATACGGCCCAACAGAATAAAGAGGTAAGGAATCAAGTATAGCTAGCTGATTGGTTGAATTAAAT